CGTGGTTCGATTTTCGTGGACTCGCTCTTTCGCGATTTTTCAACGATTGTCAACTTTAATATTACTCACGTGACTGGGACGGTACGGGATAAAAAGTTAACGAAAAAAATACTTCGGAAAGGCGCCGCCATTTTGTAGTTTTCGTTCAATTAGCCTACACCAGGGCTATACAATTGGAGGCTTCAATCTGGCTCACTTCATTAAAAAAATTGTATATATATTTTTTGGGGGGTTCTGGTTATTGCATTTATGATTCAATGCAATAAAATAAACACATTTAAAAGATAACAGATCATTGTAAACGTTGGTTTATTTAGATAATGATTTTAATCGCTGGATGTCCGGCCCCCGAGCTGTTGGCTTTCAGAAACTGCAGCCCCCTGAGCAGTTTTGTTGAATAGCCCTGGCCTACACTGTTTTACCAGGCAATATAACTACACTACCCAGAAGCCAACAGTGTTTTCAGCCGCTGCTTTCTGCTGAAATGGAGAGAAAGTTTTGCAATGCAAATCTAAGCTGTTTATTAAGCTCACGGAGCTGGCAGGAAAGTCGCAAATAATCCTGAAGCTTCCTGAAGCTCAATTATCCACGTGCACATCAACCTGGACGGAGCGGTGGTCTTTGTCGCCTGCAGAACCAGAACCGAGCCCGACCGCAACCGAGCTGCTGTTCTGCACAGCTGGAGGGTAAAATTGTGCAGTACCGTACAGTACATATACGTATGTTGTTAAAATGACGGAGGTTTAAGAGTTTAGAACATTGCAAGAGTGTGGGAAGGGTTTATAAAGCTTTAAAATATATTTAAATACTAAAATAAATATAGCGTTCCTACTTTGTGGTTTTTCTTTCGCTGGGGTGTGGAACGTGACCCCCGTGAAAATCGAGAGACTACTGTATGTCCAAACTGTTCCAGAATCGGGGTTTAATTTAAGCTGTTGTTGTTTTCTCATTAACGCTGACAGATGCAGCATCGTGTTATTAGAAAGTAGAATCATCTTTTTTGAATAAAACATTGTTGCCTCTGTAAAACACTGCCCACACGATACCATCAAAACAAAACACAAATCTGTGCTCCAAAACATTTACAGCTTCGGTTGTTTTTTCCTCCTCCCTGTCCTGATTCCTAATAGACCCTCTGATTAGATTCCTCCATCGATACCAGTGGGCAGCGCCACTCACGCCATGGAGCTCAAACAAACAGTCATTCAGCTCTGCCATTTGTTCTTAAGGTATGGGGGCACTGGGAGCACGGAGGAGCAAGGAGGGTGGGAAACTTCAGCTGAGCTACTGTACATATCTGAGCCTTGATGTGGCAACAATGCGTTTGGCGCAGGACGGGTGCCGCACTGTTGGGTCACTTCCTTCCTACTGAGGCTGAGAAAGAAGTGGGAGACCAGACGGGCCGAGATACTGGTTCCAGATCGGTGCGCAGGATTGTTACGTAGAGGGACCGAGGTGGAGCTGTGTGAAGACAGGCAGCGGCGCTGAGCGTGGGAGAGTGTGCACGGCGAGCCGAGAGACACCTCGGACTCCGTGTGAGCGCTGCACAATTCCCTGAATGGGCTCGACTGTACACAAACACACACTCGCTCGCAGAGAGGCAGAGCATTTATTAGTGTTACCTAACCAAGCACTCGAACAATGAGCAGCAGCTAAACTTCCTCGCTTTGTCTGCCTCCGTAGAACTTCACAAGAGCTTTCAAACCGTTCTCACACAGACACACAAATACTTGTTTTGTTTCTCACTTTCACAGACAAACTCTCACAAGCTCTTGTAAATGTAGATGGGAAGAATAAAAAAAAAAAGAACGTCATAAATTCAGTTTGATTGGGTTTAAAATGACATTTAGGCCTGTCGCGATAAACAATAAATCAATGATAAATGAAAATTATCAACCTAATTTTCATTTATCGGCTTTATCGTTTCTTCGTGTCTCTCTCTTTCTACTGAAGACACTGGATGACAAAAAGCTCAACTTCAGTGCTCTTCACTGACCCCTCCCTTTCTCTTTTCGTTAAAATCTGTTTTAACCATCCAAAAATCACGTTTTTGGATCGTTAAAAGCAGCTAAGCTGAGAAGATAAGCTACAAGCTAAGCTAACGGGCCCAACTCGGGGGGGGGAAAAACGCCGTCTTGTCGAAGCTCCAAAAATTCACGGTTGAAACCCGTGCCTTCATGTAACAAGTTGTTTTTCTCTGCAAAAAGAAGCTGAGAACTTGTTTACTGATGTTTTATTAAAAGATTTGTGTGAAAAATGCTATGCTAAAGAGCTCAAACCGCAACGCGCGTCCGCCATTAAGGAGAGACAACCCATGTCATGTCAAGGGGCCTCCCTCCCATTTTTGTTAAAGAGACGCTGCTCGCTCCCTCATTATCCATTCTTCGGTTCAAAAAGTCTTATACTGCCATTCGGTGGTCAAAAAAAGGTACTACACCCAAAACAAATTAAACATTTTTCTTAAATTTGACAATAATTACTAATTATTGTCAAATTTCAAACAATATTATCATTTATCGCAATAATTTCTGAGACAATTAATCGTCCAGCAAAATTTGTTATTGTGACAGGCCTAATAACATTAAATACTACGGAGCTAAGTGAAAGGGTGACCCTACATGTTAAAAGATATAAATGTAGCCTGTTGGCATATGAACTAGAGAAATTGCATTTCCTGCAAAAATGCAGTACAAGTGCTTATTGCAGAAGAACTTGCTGAAAAACAGCTGAAATTAGCTTAAAAAAGGTACAATCTAACTGAAATGGAAGAACAAGCCTATATTAGCAGAAAAAAACAGAAAGAACAAATATTTGTTGAATTAGGTTTAAATAAGCAGAAATGAGCATAACAATTAGGAAATCAGCTAAAAAAAAGCTGAAATTAACTAAAAAATAGCTAAAATTAGCTAAAGAATTTATGAAATTAGCAAAAAATTGATGAAAAGTAGCTGAAAAGGCAGACAAAGCTTAAAGTATAGAAGAAGAAGAAAAAGCCAAAATTAGCACAAAAAAGTGGAAATTATGTGAAAAAAGTAGAAATAAAAAAAAACAGCTGAAAAGTAGCTAAAAAGCAATAAGAAGTATAAATTACCAGAAGGAAGTGGAGAGAGCACATTTTTGCTGCATTAGGCTGGAAAAAGTAGAAATGAGTTAAAAAAATGTGGCATTAGCTGAAAAAGCTAGAATTAGCATATAACAGCTAAATAGTAGCTGACAGTAGCAGAAAAAAACAGAAATAACACGTATTTGCTGAATTGTGTTTAAATAAACATAAATTAGCACAAAATTTAGGAAATACCAGTAAGCAAAAAAAAAAAAAGAAGCTGAAATTAGTATGAAAAATTGCTGAAAAGCAGCTGAAAAGGCAGAAAAAGCTGAAATTAGCACAAAAAAGTGAAAATTATCTGAAAAAAGCTGAAACTAGCAGAAATTATCTGAAAGAAGTACAAAAATGTTAGCAGAAAGAATCTGAAAGGAGCATAAAACAGCTGAAAAAACAGCTGAAATTAGCTGAAAAAGTTCATATTTGCTCAAGGAAGCAGAAAAATGCTGAAGCAGAACAAGATGTGAAAGGAGCAGAGAAAGGTTGTAAACATATCTAAATATTTGAAGGATGGAAAATGTGCTTACATTTTGATATATGTATATATATATATATATATATATATATATATACATATATATTATGGAAGTAGCACAAAAACTGTGGAACGAGAAAGATGCTGAAAAGCGTACGGAAGAAAAATGGATCACAACAGTGTGAACGCTTCATTAAGGACATGCGCAGCCATTTTTCACAAAAACAAAAAAAGTCATCAGAATGTAGGACAGGCAGTTTATCAGCCGAGAGAGGTTGAGCGGGTCAGTGGGAACGGACATGTTGTCTGTAAAATGGCAATGGCCTCTGGAACCCCCTGCATCCATCACTCACATGAACCCTGGCAGCAAATCACCTTCCACTCCACTCAGGCTGACCCTTCACTGAACACTTGTGATAAGGAACATTTTCACTGGAAACACCCCCCAAAGAACACACTCCTCATTCACAGTTTAACAGAAGTGACTGGTTTGTGTTTTTGTGAGTTAAACACTGCACACATTTTTTTGTTTTGTTTTTTATCTCAGCAGCAACATTTGGCTGTAATGAGCCGTTCAAAAATAAAAGCAGGTAAAAACAAGGGAGTGCTGACACCAGAACTTTTGAGAATTCTCAACTGGGCAGTTGTGGTAAATATTTAGATAAAACTGAGTAAAATTAAATATAAACGGAGTATGAGGCCAAAATTAGTCTTCTAAAAAAATGCTGTGGTAATTCAGATTCTGAATGAAACTATAGCAGCATTTGTTGAAGGAATGTCAAGATGTCATGTGATCTGGATGACTCTCAGCTACCACCACACAAAATTATAGCTCAGTATTTGTTGTACTGACTGAGGTATAGTCATATTTGTCTATTTGAAGGTCAATTAGCTATGGCAGCCATCTTAAATCAGGCTGCCTCTAAATGCTAAACAGTTGTAGATGTACGTGCAATGATTACTTTCTGACCATATCATTACAGTTCGCCCAGTGGTCCTGGAGATATTTTGCTAACAGATAAACAGGGTTGACTCCAATGGTTAATGCCAAACGTTTTGTTAAATTTGTTAGCACTAACAGCGTGTGTTGGGAGTGACTCTCAGCTACCACCACACCAATTTTTTTAAATAAAATTCTGTAAAACTCAGAGAGTTATAATCATTTTTGTGTTTACTAAGGTTGATGAACTGCGGCAGCCATCTTGAATCAAATCGATTCCAAAAGTTAATCAGATGCAGATGTGCATTCAGTCACTAATTTCTGAGAATTTTGTTAAAATCCATGCAGTAGTTGATGGGATATTTTGCTAACAGACAAACAAGCACACATTATAATGCAGATCAAACAAGCAGATGTCATTTGTAACCTTTACAAACAGAACCCCAGCAGTGGCCCTCAGACAACAGACTTCCAGCTCTTACCAGGTATCTGAATGAAGGACCATCCGTGGCGAGGGTGCAGGGCCATCACCCCCCCGGGGCATTGTGGGTAGAAGGCGTTGGCCCTTGCACACCAATCCGACGCCAGTTCAGGGGAGCCATACAGGAAGCACTGCTTGTATATCAGCCCCCCTCCGCTGCGTGTCACTCGCCACTCGTACTCAGCGCTCCTGTCGGTGCAATAACGCTCCATGGGAACCGCCGTCACCTTGGAAACCAAAGATCATGTGTGAAATGACCACAACGGATTAAACAAAAATATTCTGAAGAACATCTGCTTCACATCTGCTACAACTTGAACAGATGAGAGCTCTGAAGATGCTCGCTGACTGCAGGTGAGATTCACTGACTCAGCAGGTTCTGCATCTGGTGTCTGTGTGTGGTGATGGTGGTGGAGGTGTGGGGGGGGGGGGAGACGAGGACGCAAACAACCCGTGCAAAAATCTCTCTTGGAAGCTCTGCTTGTTTTAAGTGAGGCTGAAAGGCACACACACACCCAGACACACACAGTTCCCAGATAAGACCGCCTCTTCGTTAGAGGCAACAGAAGCGACGCTCGCGGAGCTTCGGTCTTCTACTCCACGACCACCCAAACGCTCGCCTGCCTCAACACCGGCTGTCCGCGCAAACACAAACGAACTCGCCGGAGCGTCGTCCTCGGCGACGTGCGCTCACCTTGGGTGTGGCGGCTAACAGGAACTTGGGTGGCGGCGTGCGCTGACAGGGCCGGAGCACGGAGGTGGCCGTGCTTCTGCTGTGGATCCTTACGTCCCAGTGAGCCAACATGCCAGGACTGGAAGCTGTGAACACCAAATCCTGACAACAAATGCACAAAAACACACTTTTACTTGTGTTGTTCATCAACGTTAAAACTTGTGTTCAGCATTCCAGCTGCATCAGCTGCTCCACAACTCAGGTTTATTTGAATTTGGTCTAAAAAGAGCCATGAAAGAAAACAAGATAAACAAATTGTAGTGGAGGGGAAAAAAGCATCACAAACTAGAGAAATTACATCTCCTGCGAAAAAGCTGCAAGAATTCTTATTTCAGAAGAACTTGCTGAGAAACAGCTGAAATTAGCTAAAAAAAACATGCTGAAATGAAAGAACAAGCATGAATTAGCAGAAAGAACACATATTTGCTGAAATACGTTTAAATAAGCAGAAATCAACACAAAAATTAAGAAAGTAGCTAAAAAAGCTGAAATTAGCCAAAAATAAATAAAAAATAGCTCAAAAGTAGCTGAAAGGCAGAAAAAAGATTAAACTACCAGAGGGAAGTAGAAAGAGCTGAAATGAGTTAAAAAAATAAAAAGTGGAATTTGTTGAAAAAGTTTAAAATAGCATAAAACAGCTAGTAGCTGAAATAGCAGAAAAACAGGAAACTTACAGAAATAAGCTGAAAGGAGCATAACAAACTGGATTTAGCAGAAAAAAATTAGAAGTACAAAAATGGTGTAGTTAGCAGAAATAATCTGAAAGGAGAACAAAGCAGCTGAAAGAACAAGAGAGTGGCTGAAAATTTTGTCAATTTGCACAAGGAAGCTGAAATGTTCATGTTCATGTTTGTGCTGATGTTCAATATTTTATGTTATGAGTGCTTAGTGTATATTTAGTTGATGTTTTTCTTAGTTCATATCTTAGATGTCATTACTGTTTTTCTTAGACATTTTATTGTTGGATGTAACTGGGACCCCGTGTACATAATTTCGCTCCACCACATGTACCACATGAGGTGCGAATGACAATAAAGAAACTCTGACTCTGACTCTGACTCTGAAAGAAGCTGAAGCAGAACAAAATAAGAAAGGAGCAGTAAAATGTTGTGAACAGATGTAAAGATGTGAAGGATGTAAAATGAGCTCAATTCATTTTCTATGAGAAAAAAATGGCAGAAAAGGCTAAATATTTCAAAAAGCTAAAGTTGCACCAATACCAAGTCATAGCAGGATTGTCCTGAATGAGTTGAACGTTTTGATCAAATTTGTTGCAATAGCACAAAAATTGTGGAACGAGTAAGATGCCAAAAAACGTGCAGAAGAAAAACAGATCACAATAGAGTTCACACAACAAGCTGCAAAACAGGAAAATAAAATGGGGAGTGAAGGGGTTAATGAGTCTTGTGGTTTTTGCCTTTATGTTATATCCAAACACAGACGCAGAAAGAGCAATAATGTTGTTCCCCATAGTGTTCATTTGTCTGTAGCAATAATAAAACTCTAAGAAAGTATCGTAAATATTGAATGTACAAATTACAACCTTTTTGGGTAAACAAGATCCAAGATGGTGGCTACAGCCAGCTGACTACATGAAACTCCAAAACAGCTACAGTTCAGCCAGTTTTACAGCAATTAAGTTAAACATTGACATAGTTGTAGCTGAGCCTTGTCCCCAACGCATACTCTGAGGGTATCACGTTGCACCACATCTGTGCTTAAAATGTTGGCATTCATTGTTGGAACGTCTACAACTGTTTAACTTTTGGCGTCAACCCAATTCAAAATGGCTGCCACAGCTAAGCAACCTTAGCCAACAGAAAAAGTTGCTGTAACTTTTGTCATTTTTACAGATATTGAGATAAAATTTCACATGGCAGTAGCCGAGTCTAGAACAGATCGCACAAGAACCCGTGATGTCACATTTGACTAAAGTGGCTTCAACTCTGTCGCTTGTCTCCGTAAGAAGACCTTAATACCCACCTTATTCCTGGGGGCTCTACTGTATGAATGATTATGGATACAACTTCCTGTCAGACACAGGAAGTAGCAGTAAGCATTGGTTAACCACGGTAGCGGATCACGGACCGCGGCTTATTTGAAAGTAATTTACATTCAGTTGAGCAGATAAAACACAGTTTTTGTTTTGTTCACATGTATTTAACAAACATAAAGTTGACTAAAATAGCCTCGAGGAGTTCAGGTTGTTCTGTTTGCGGCTGCACCAACAACCAGACCAAACTAAATCAGTGGCGCTCTTGGCCACAACCACGCCTCTGCTCCTGCACGCTCAACAGCTGATCAGCCGTTCAACTACAGCAGGAAGTTTATCCTGCAGCAGTAAGGGCTGCACAAAGCTGCAAGAGGTGCTAAATACCGCAATTTAAAATAATTTATTTTAAATAGAAATTTCATGCCGAACCGTGCGGCTCATCCAACAATCAGCCAATTGCGTGTCACGTCCACTCTTATTTTGAAAAACCGCGATAGAGCGTATCCAAGATAAACGAACCGCGAAGCGGCGAGGGACTACTGTATTGTCCTGTTTGAGCTCTGACAGGTGGTGTTCCTACATGTTTAAATTAAATCCACAATGCTTGGACAAACTACATTAGCTCGTTCTGTTCACACACAAACAAACGCCTGTTCAGGTCCGCACCGAAAGTCGCGCCCAGAATTCACGCAAAGCATCATGGGGGGTAGGAATAAGGTGGATAACTCTGGCATGAAAGGCAGTGGGCGTTAAATAACCGACTTTACTCATTAAAAACATTTATTTAATACTTAAAAATAGTTCTGTAACATGCACGACTACTGCAGCTTATATGATTCAAGTCGTAAACAAATTAAATTTAGCAGTTTATCAGATCACATGATCTTTATATTTGGAGGGAACCAAATTTAGATTTTGTGGTTCTAGCTGAAGAGGTGATGATGAGTGAGCTTCCAGATGGGATGTTGAAGTGGTGTTTGGTGAGTCAGTGTGGTTACACAGCGCCATCTACAGGCAGGATGAAAAACAAAAACATTTTCTTGGATTAGTTGCAGAGCAAATATTGCTTCTCTAAGAAAGTCAATCTGGAGTCTTCCCATGAGCCGTGAACCACCTTTTACCACTTTGTCTAATAATACAAACAAACAAACAAAATGGTTGTTTAATGCAGCACCTCATAGAAATAAAATTCAAAGGTTAGAGAAGAGTCTCGTCTCAACAGGAGCGCCAGACAAGCTGAATGTCATACTGACCACGTCATTCATTCAGCCGGAGGAAGAGGAGCCACGAGTTCAGGTGGGGAGTCTCCAGGTGTCCACAACTTTCTGTTCTGAACTCGTTCTTTACATTTTTCTGCTTTTCCGTTGCTTTGCTCTGACGTGTGTGGCAGGGGGGGGGGGGGGGGTGAGGCAGCTGCAGAACTTGAGAGTGATGAGGCCAGCAGAGGAAGAAGAGGATGGAATTACCCCTGAAGCTTTTACCCCTGAGCCTTTTCCAAACCGACACAAAGTAAAAGAACTGCTGGAGGCAGAAATCTGGCCGCGATTACCCGTCTGCTGGGTCAGAACCTGATCGCATGTGTTCGGAATGCTTTTAGGTGAATTACTAACATTTTCTCTTGTCGGTTTGTTTATTTAATCGGACGCACACGCATGGTTAAAGTACACTCTTGCTGTTTACTCTAAAACGCAGCACGTCGTGGCAATATTACATTTACACCAAAAGCAACACAACTGATAAACCTTAGCAGATCCTGATAGATTAATTTATTGTTTTTGACTGGACAGCAAAACTGAGGCAAGCTGAAACTCGACCAGCAGACTTTCAGAAAACTAAAACTCCTACCGTCTAAAAGGAAGCTTGTGTCTGACAATTGTGCAGATATTGAGCGAACATTTGGAGCGGTAGTAGCCGAGAGTCATCCTCAATACACTAAGATCGTGTGAAAGGACGCCACCGAAGACATCGTTTACAAAGTTTGACCACAATGGCTACAACTCCATTGCTCCTCATCAAAAGATGACCCGAGTTTCAGGCTCTGGCATGAACGGCAGCAGGAGACGTGCCTGCCTTCAAAGAAAACAAGGCCTTTAATCGAACACGTTGTTTTGGCGAAGAAAACGTAAGCCGTGCACCTAACACCCTCATTAAATAATTAGGTGTGTGCTTCAGGGAGTCGTGTTCCCGTCAGTGTGAATCAGAGCGAGATCTGATAAATCCCCACAAATACCTCCGGGTCATTTGACACGAATGTTGATTGAACACTTTCCCGTCGCACTAAACACTTCCTGTCCGTTCGTTCGGCTTTTTGCCTCCTTTAGAGCCTGTCTTCGAGGAGCTGTTTAAATGATTTCAGCAGAATTATTATTCTACGTGTCCAAGTGGAATGCTGCGGCTATGAAGACATTTAATGGGACAAAGTCAGGATTACTGGATCACGAAGCTGCAGAGGGTTTTAGGTTCCAAACTGTATCCCAGAGAAGGCACGCTGTGTGGCCGAACACTGCCCGATGCTTTAGGGAGCATTTCAGTATCATTGTTTTGGTGTACATATGTTTTCTTTTATATTTTATTTGCACCTTTATGCCGAAGCAAGTTCAGAGTCTATGAATCCTGTTCATTGGCAATGGCAGTAATAAACAGAGTCTGAATCAACACATGCCACCCTGCTGAACTACTTCTTCACTGCTGCTGTCAGAGTTTTAACGAGTTGATAGGAGATCATATCTCTACGGTTTTAGCTTCTTTCCATTGGCTCCCTGTTATTCCTTCTAACCTACAAAGTCCTCAACAACCTAGCTCCATCTTATATTACAGATGTTATTGTTCCGCATTTTCCTAACAGAGCACTTTGCTCTCAGGCTGCAGGTTTACTTGTGGTTCCTTGAGTTTACAAAACCAGAATGGGAGGAAGATCTTCCAGTTATCAGGCTCCCGTCTTGTGGAAGCAACTTCCAGTTTCTGTCCGTGAGACTGACACATTGTCCAGTTTTAAGACTGGGCTTAAGACTTTCCTTTTTGATAAATCCTATAGTTAGGGTCAGCTTGGGTTTTGTCAGCAGTCCGGCCACGGCGCCCTTCCAGTTCTTTTTGTGCCCAGGTGGAGAGGAAACTCACACAACTCAGTAAAATCAAGAGAGGTAAATTCTTTTTACTATTTTATGTCGATAAGGCAAGAAAAATAACAAGCTCAGCGCCGAGGCGTCCGTCCAACCCGTCGCAACCCAGAACCCCATGCAAAAGAACACCCCAGCTTATGTTAACCCTTGGCTCCGCCTTCACATCCAGGCGGGCACAGCCTATCAGAGTGTATCAGTGGGGTGACTATGTGCGACCTCACCGGTCTTATCGGTTTCTGATGGTGGATAACACTAGGGTAATGTGCAAATTTAAATGTTGGAAGCAAGCTAAAACAAAAATGACTCATCGGGTGCTGACCCTGGGATCGCTCGTTGTGAGCAGCTGAGACTGGTCTGATCCAGTCCAAACCAGGTTATGAGTCAGAGTAGACCAGACCAGGCGTCAAGCAAGGTTAAACTTCTAACAGTTTCCTGAGCTGTCCCTTAGTTATGCTGCTATAGGCTTAGACTGCTGGAGGACAAACTGACCACATTTCTTCACTCTGTGCTGTCTTTATTTACTCTACCTGTTTGTGTTTGTAATTATTTCTAACCTTAACATGTTTTTTTGTCTTCCCTCCTATAGAAAGTACTCCTGGACCTGCCATTCTACGTTTGTTTCTTCTTCCTGTCCTTTCTAAACTACTGGAGAAAATAGTCGAGTCCCAGTTGAAGTGCTTCCTGGAAGGTCACACCATTTTAGAGCTATTCCAATCTGGCTTTAAACCTCTCCACAGCAATGAAACTGCCCTGCTGAAGGTCTTTAATGACATCTTCAGATTCACAGATACCAGTGATTCTGTGCTGCTTGTCCTATTGGACCCCACAGCCGCCTTTGACACCATCGACCATGAGATCCTCATTGCTAGGTTGGAGCAGTGGGTGGGCATCACAGGATCAGCCCTCAATTGGTTCAGATCTTACCTCGCTGACAGATCCTTTTGTGTCTCCATCAAGGATTTTAGTTCTGCAGAGGCAGAGCTTAAATGGGGGGTTCCACAGGGGTCCATCCTGGGTCCCCTCCTATTCTCTTTATACCTGCTGCCGCTCGGTGCTATTTTCCGGAAACATAACATGCCCTTCCACTTCTATGCCGATGACTGTCAAATTTACTTCCCCTAAGACACAATGGTACATGCTCTATTCAACTGCTGCTCGACTGCCTGGCTGACATCAGGGACTGGATGGCTTTAAATTTCTTAAGTTTCAATGAAAAGAAGTCTGAAGTCATGTTGTTCCCTCCCAACGACACGATCACAAACCACTGCATCGACCTCTCCGCTCTAACCCTGTCAGAAAAACAAAGAGTCACTAATCTGGGTGTGATAATGGACCCTTCCCTGAAACTTAACAATCATGTAAACATGATTGTTAAATCATGCTTCTTCCAACTGAGGCGGCTGTCTAAACTGAAGCCCATATTGTCCAAAAATAACTTGGAGACAGTAATACATGCATTCATTACATCTAGGCTTGATCACTGCAATTCACTCCTGTTTGGTATCAGTCAGACCTCCATTGCACGACTACAACTGGTCCAGAATGCAGCAGACCGATTTTTAACCAGTACAGGCAAAAGAGAGCACATTACACCAGTTTTGGCCTCACTGCACTGGTTACCGGTTCACTTTCGAATCCAGTTCAAAAATACTCGTGTATGTCTACAAATCACTGAACAGTGTCGCCCCCCCCATCTCTCTGATCTGCTACAACTGTATGTCCCACCACGTTCCCTGAGGTCAGCGGACCAGTTGCTCCTCACAGTTCCAGGAACTCGTCTTAAGCGCAGAGGTGACAGGGCCTTCTCTGTAGCAGGACCAAGACTCTGGAAAGAGTTACCTCTGCTTGTCAGACTGGCCCCCTCCCTCTCGGTTTTCAAGTCCCGTTTAAAAACCCACTACTATTCGGTGGCTTTCAACACCAGATGATCTGTGTTTTGATCCTGTATGCTCCACACTGGTTTGTCGTCATTATCTGCATTGTTTTTATGTCTGTATTCTGATTTACCTCATTTTGTATTTTGCTTTGTGTGTTACCTGTTGTTTTGTCTGTACAGCACTTTGGTTGGCTTTGTCGCTGTTTTAAGTGCTTTATAAATAAAGTGGTAAGGTATGGTTTCAAACTCCATCCAGTTGAAGCAGATGGCCACTCGTCCTGAGCCTGGTCCTGCTGGAGGTTTCTTCCTGTTAAAAGGGAGTTTTTCCTTTCCACTGTTGCCACTGTGCTTGCTCAGGATGGGAGACTGCGACGAAGTGAAGATTCAATGCATCTGCTGGCTTCCTTAGATAGATAACTTTACTAACTGGCTTTTTTCATGCATGTGAATGTTTCTGTTCAGTGCCCTGAGACGACTTCTGTTGTGACTTGGTGCTTTATAAATAAACTGAACTGAAGTTTCTAACATTGAAGGCTGCTGGAGATTCTCTCGCTTTAACACTGCAGCCTGTGTGTCTTGACTTACCTGCATGACGGGGCTGGTTTGCATGTTGGGGAAGGTGATCGATCTGTCGAGCCACAAAATCAAGCCTCTGCGAGACAGATGTGCCCCCCTGGGCTCTGACTTCACCCCACACCCTTCGTCCTGGCTGAACAGGCGCTGGTAGTAGAGCCGGTACGCAGCTTTCAGTGATAGAAAAAGAGCTAACCATCTGTGAGAGAAAAATAAGCCTCAGAAAAATAAATTTAAAACAAAGAACCAATAAGTTTGTTCTTCGGTGTTTGAGATGTAAAGAAGCAAACACCCACCTGACTAAAGTGCCTTGCAACATCACGTTGGACATCTCAGCTGGTGACACGTCGATAAAACGCAAGAAGGAGAAGCAGCTTCCTTTGTCGTCGTCTGAAACCGTTAAAGGGACACGAATAAGGAGGACTGATCAAAAGATCCAATAAGAAACAGAAGAAACTGTATTTTTTGTGTGTTTTACCCTTTCTGTGAAAAAGAGACTGCTGGATGTGATGTGGAGAGAAGGGAGACAGCAGCACTTGAAGTAATCTGAGACAGACGAGCAGAGGTGCACAGAGTTAGAGCACAAAAATCTAAGTTCCAGGACAACGGACAGAGCCAGGGATCCGATTCTAGTTTAATCCACAAAATTCCTACAATTAAAGCTAAACGTTGTAATAACAGCCTCAAAAGGAGAACCATTATCTGAAGGAAAAGAAGAACAGATGTAACGCTCTTTAAACAGCAACTTCAGACATAAACCTTCTGATGTTGGTTAAAACCAAGAACTTACTTGTTCTTGGTCCGGTTGTGTTCGTGCAGGAGGCCGTGACGGTACAGGAACTTTGGCATGACGTAGGGCTTGAGGGACATGTGGAAAGGAGAGCGTGTCTCCTGACGCTCAAACAAGTCAGGGTGGTTGCACACCTGCGCAAACAAAACATTATAGTCACAAAGGGTGCCAGCGTTACGACTCACCCAGTGCTGTCAGTTTGTGGGGAACTGAAAACTAACGGGACAACAAAACGTCTGCCGCCGTTTCTACCTTCCTGAACTGCATGACCAGGTTCATGAGCGAGGACGTGGTGCTGTGGGCCTGCTGGGCCGTCCCCATGGAGGACTGCAGCAGATCCTCGATGGAGATCTTGTTCCTTAGAGCCTGATAGAGCAACCTCTGCCGGGTCGTCAGCTGGCAGTAGGTCAGGATCTCGATCTGCAGAAGGACAGAGATAAAAGTAGATTTTAAAAAAAGCAATTCTAATTTTTTTAGAAGAATTCTTTGCTGCTTCACATTTATCTGGACATAAATAAGACCTACAGAATCAGGTAATACGACTAGGTCGAGCAACTATTCCACTTTGAGCTTGTTGTTCCTTGACGAATTATAAGAAAGTTGATCAGCAGCATTATGTTTTACAGTTATAGTATAAATAAAGTCCATGCTCATTCAGTACTAGAGTTTTAAGTTACAAACTATAATCAACAAAATTGGCTCTAAAATCATTTAATTCTACCAACAAGTGTACAAAAACACACGATTTTCCACCATATCTTTATTTATTAAAGCCACAATGAAACGGGTGAAAAACCAAGTCAGTCTTTGCTGTTTCTAGAGGATGCAAGAGTGAGAGCATTAGCTCAGTGCTGCTGATCAAATACACCAGATTAACTGCTCACCATCAGTGTGAGGGCCTGCCTACAGAAAGCCTAGCAGGCGTTCTATTGCTGTTTGTTAACACAATGCCAAGAAGGAAAGGCATCAGTAATAACCTCAGAGAGGCAACTATTTCTGTTTATCTATCTGTGGAGGGTTAAAAAAACACTTTCAAACTATTCGGAGTCCATTATTCTGCAGTAAAAAAAAAAAAAAAATCACAAGTGGGAAATATTTAAGCTAATTGTTGATCTTTTCTGGAGTGGACATTCCATCAAATTAAACCCAATGTCAGATTGTGCAATGCTTAAAACTAAATAAATACCCAAGAACTCCAGCTGAGTCTCTCCAGGCCACAGTTAGCAGGTTAAAAGTTAAAGTCTATAACAGGACAATTAGAGAAAGACTGGACATGTTTGGATTATTTGGAAAGGTTGCCAAGAGAAACTCTGTCCTCTCTTTAAAAAACAAAACAAAACATGGCAGCAGGACTTTGGTTTATACGCTGCATCTGTAACGAAACACAAGATTTCTGGATTCATTCCTTTTGGACAGAGGAGACCAAAGTAAAAATGTTTACCCATGATGCACAGTAACATGGTTGGGGAAAAAAAAAAGGCCAAACAGCATATCAGCACAAATATGTTTCAATAAGGTTCAAGCACGGTGGTGGAGGAGTGATGATTTGGGCTTGTTTTGCTGCTTGTTTAAAATCGGGTCACAATGCAACAGAACAATGATCCAAACAAAGCAGCACATCTACAAAAAAACAACTGGAGGAGCAAAGAATCAAAGTGTAATTAGCCGGTAATTTAGACCAATATAGACGTTTGAGGACCTAACGATATCGGTAGTAATTGTCCCATTATGCGCAGATATAAGCCAGTGTTTCCCCTACCATTATACAAGCAGGGCACCCCGCCCGACGTAGCACTACGCTTCTCCTCCTACCCCCACCCACTTCGACAAATACCAGCAGCAATGTAGCGCTAAGCTACTGTGCAACACAGATGTGACTCAGTTCCCCCCCTCCTCTGACAATTACTGGCAGCAACGTAGCACTAAGCTAACGTGCAACACAGACGTGACACCATCCCCGGTCAACCCCCCCAAAAAGTAGGAGCGCCCTGCCAAGGAAACGGTTCTAGCTGTTCTAACTTCGAATTTTCACCCTTAAAATGCTGGAACCAGCAGTAATTGTACAATGTATCCAGCAGAGGGCACATGAAGACTACTAGTCTGGCCTTTACTTAAGTTTCACTTTCAGCACAGCCGAAGCAGGGAGCAAATGTGTAGCGTATTTTGCTGAACAGAGCATGGTAAATTTATTTTAACTGATCTGCAAAACAAATCGACAATAATAAATCCTATTCAATCCTCCCCAACCGGCTTGTCATTAGCTACATACCATACTTATCAAGTTAGCAAGCTAATGTTTAGATAACCTAGCATAGGCTGTTGCCTTGTAAAATTTTATCCAGAACAATAAATATAACGTAGAGGTAAATATATATCAGTGTTAGTAACGTTATCGTTGTTGTCCTCCATGAAATGCATTGTTTGTCTGAAATCTTTACTTCTCTGCAAAGAAAAATAAACTCTGCTGTGGTCCAATACTAACTAGGCCTTCACCATACGTGACTGACTGTTTAAACAATGAACAGGGAGATACGTTTCTTTAATTTATATTTTTGTAACCCACTTGATACAGTAACTTTATGATGATTAATAGAGGACATAAAATGTGAAAGCATGTAAGGAAGACTGTTTTTATGCCCAGTGCACCACTTTTAAACCTAGAGTGGAACTACGTATAGCGTGGATCTGATTAGCTTAGCTTCATGGTTGCTAACAGTCGCGCTAAATAACCAAGCCCCGCTCCACACGCTGTTCTCTTAGATTCTTGGAGGTGGACAAAGCTCATAATTTTTCAACCATTATATTGGTTATCAGTGGTCGCCTTTCCCTCCCAATATCGGTATTGGCGATAGCCAAAATTTCCATATATATTGGGATCTAGTTGTAATGGTCCAGTTAAAGGCTAGATCTAAGCTGCCTGAAATGTTAGCAGAGCTGCAAACATCAATGAAATGAAGGAATGTTGTAAGAAAAAGTGGGCCAAAATTGCTCCACAACCCAGTAAGACTGAAAAAGTCAGACATCCAGAGAGTCAAGAAAGTTGTTTTCAATTTTTTACACAGATTTTTCATTTAGGGTTTGCTTTTATTATTAAAGACATGATGGAGTCTGTTGTGTGTTTTTGTACTTTTGAGCTTAGACTTGAATAATGTAAAAAAAAAACAATGATTTTTACTACGTTTCGGTGAATAAAACCCTAGGATTTTATAGAAGGGTGGACTTTCATTTCCCACCACAGTTTGCTTTTTGCCGTGAATTTCATACATAAATTCCTGAGCACAGCGTTCACACCCCACATTCCTAAAAAGAAACGCACACATTAACCTAGATGTTTTTATATACCGTCACTCTCAATGAAGCAGTGACAGTGATCGGCAACGATCCGTTCCATCCAAACCAGCAGTGGGAACCCTGCGTGAACTTCACCCCGTTAGTCTTGGCTTTAAAATGTTAGCAAAACAAAAGAAAGCCACCGAGTGTGGAGAAGCCAAGGAAATGAGATGGCAGGGCTGCATGTGGGTGCAGAGGAAAGAGAACGACACAGATGTGGGGGAGTTGTGAACTCTGCCTTTCTTCTGATGCTACACTCCAGCAGTGAGTGAGGACGTGCTGGGACAGCAGGAGTCCAACATCTGTCAGTGGACCTGACAGCACAGGAGTCCATCACAGGCTCATTTAAATTACAATGTGTCAGTGAGTTGAGGCAAAGAGACAGACCTAACACAAGAATTGCTAACAAATGATAAAACTGCAATAATGCACTTTTAATTTAGAGTTTTAATACAAAAAAAACAACAAATGGTGAAAAAATAAGTGTTAGTTGTGAGATATTGACATATTTCTGCAGATTTTCCATCCACAACTCAAGATTTCTGTTTTATAGAACAAGAAGTTTGTTCTGCAAGTGCAGAGCGGAAAGGTTGTTTCCCTACTTTGTCCGAGAGCTCATTCTCCACGTCCTTCTTGATCCTGCGAAGCATGAAGGGCTTGAGAATCATGTGCAATCTGGAGAGTTGATCTGGAAAGACAAAAAAGCACGCGGGTTTTAGCTGTACGACATATTACATGCAACACTGAGCAGGAATAAAACATCAGCGCTGGACAAAACACAAAAAAATACAAATTCAAATATCAGTCAGAAGATTAGAAGAAGGGAGGGGAGGTGTGTGTGTGGAGGGGTGTTTGCGGCACTCCTCACTCTCGTCGATGGCAGACTTGTTTTCAGCGTGGCTCTCGATGTCCCTGGAGAACCATTCGTTAAACTCTTCATGGGAATCGAACAACGTGGGCATGATGAAGTGCAGCAGGGCCCACAGCTGGGAAAAACAGGAACGACAGAGTTAATAACAGCTCTGATAAACACACACTCATCCAAACTCACACACACACACACACACACACACACACCTCGGCCATCGTGTTCTGGATGGGCGTTCCGGTCAGCAGGAGTCTGTTTCGACACTGAAACTGCAGAAGGATCTTCCATCGAACACTAGAAGAAAAACAAGAGATCCGCACACAACTCCTTATACGCCCGTCGACAAAAACTTATACAGCAATCTACAACAATGGCCTTGTTTTAACTTTGACCTTGATTTGTGACCTTGACCTTGGAGCTGGAGTAATGAAAACTGTACACGACACCATCTAGTGATGTTTCATTAGATTATCTTGCGCGGATCAGAAGTTACAGGCGGGACATGAGAACGTTTGCAGACAGATAATACGTCCTGCCTTTGACTGAGGCGTTTAAAAAGCAGAAGTTTAGATCTTGATCCAATGACCAAATCCAAATACTCATCATCAGCAAGAAACAGTTAAATCCACCATGCAAATTATAAACCACCTGTAGACTTAAAAATTAAACATTTAGAAATATCTTCAGCGTGAGCATGCAGATTTTGACCAAGCTTTAGAAACTGCTAAGAATGATGAAGAATCGTATTATTTTCTCTTATTTGTGTGTGTGTGGGAGGGGGGGGGGAGTAAATGATAATTGTGCTGAACTACAAGCAAAACTATCAACAGAAACGAATAAGGAATACCAGAAAAATGTAGATTTTCACAGAAAATGCAATCTGAATGCTCAATGACTGCAGAGATTTGTTGAAGAAGCTGAAACTTACTAGTTCAAGGTAAAAAAGGCAGAATATCAGCTAAAATGAGCAAAACAGAAGCTAAAAGCTAAACATTGCCAAACAACAGATGAAGCTAAAACTTGTTAGAGTAGCTAAAGGCTAAGGTTAGCAAACCATAGCTAAAAATACAATAGCTACAATATACATAAACGCTAAAATTGGCTAAAATGTAGCTAAAAGCTAAGGTTAGCAAACTACAGCTAAAACATAATTGCTAAATTGGTGGTGGTGGGGGGGGGGGGTCTTCTTTCAGCTGCTCCCTTCTTCAGAAGTCTCCACAGCAAACTAACGCGCACGAAGACATGACATTTTTGTTCTTTATATCGGATGTCCTTCCTGACACAACCACAGACCATGAGCTACCACAGCCTCTGTGTGGAGCAGAGAGCTGCCGTCTAGGGCGCCCCAGGGAGCAGATGGTGGGGGTTAAGGGCCTTGCTCAAGGGCCCAGAGTGGGGCAGATGAGGGTGGAGGCAGGTGTGCGTTTCACCTTTCCCACCCACATATTGATGTCTGTTCAGGGAGTTGAACCGGTGACCTTCTGATCACAAACCCACCTTCTCTAACCTCTTCGCCACCACTCCCCGCAATTGCTAAATTATATATAAATGCTAAAATTTGCTACATTGTAGCTTAAAGCTAAGATGAGCACAACCGGAGCTAAAACCTAAAACTTGCATAAGAAATAGAAAAAAAAAAAAAAATGTTAACTCAGATTTCAAAAAGAAGAAAGTTTTTTTGAAGAAATTAGAGGATCTGAATTCATTTATATTGGAAAT